CAATGCGTGATTGACCATCGACTTGTTGCCACATCCAGAATGGCCGCGGTTGAAGTAGCACTGGCGTGCCCGAGATTTCTCTTGAAGCCTAACATGTACTTGCCCTCTATCGTTAGATTGTGCCGATAATTGTCCTCACGATGTGCATGTTTTAAATAATCATACGGTAGCTTCGCTTGTAGTTCAACCAATTGTTCATTCAAACTTGCGATCTCCACTTCCTGCCGGCGCACGGTCCGTTTTGCATCTGCTCGTTCTTTCTTGGCTCTATCCAGCTTCCTAGACATATCGACCATGGCGTTCTGGAGCTGTTCTCTGGACATATCCCGAATACTCGCCAGAACTAGTTGTCTGTTCTGTGGGGCTCGAGTTCGAACAGGCGCGGGGACAACTGCAAGATGATGAGAAACCTCTGGCGGCCCCAACCGTTCGTAAACTGCTCTGTCAATTTGCAGCCACGCCTGATCGTTCGCTGACCTCAATACATGGCCTTGACTTCGGAGAAACTCAACCAGATCCGTGATGAGAAAAGGGCCTCTGCCCGACCCCGCTGGTAAAGAACTCACCTGCCGTATCTCGCTGCTGCTGCTGCATGAAGTGATGACAAAATTCACGGCCGCAAGAAATTCTCTCACTCCGAGAAAGTGCACCCTGAAACCTCTGATCTCCACGCCAACGGCGCCAGAAAGGCGCAACGCCTGTGCAATGAGTTGCTCCATGTGACGGGCCCGACAGGCAAACCGAACGTATGTCGAACAAGTTTGAGCCAATATGGTTACATAATCACGTCAACGACAGCTGAAATTACGTTTCGTTTGAGGTATCATCATAAAACGCACGCGCATTTCAGGCGAGGAATTCCAGTAAGACCCCTAGGAACCTATCCTTAATCGAAGTTGCGGTCCGCCGACCCCATTAGATTTACCAGGCACGCAGGGACATGCCCCAAACGAAACGCAGGTTTGTTCAGAGTTTTAACGTGTTACAATGTCTTGGATGTGCCTTCTGTTTCATTTACATGTCGTTGAACATGCGCGCTGTGCGATATCGCGTATGCTTTGTTGGCGCTGTTTCGTTTGTAGATCCCGCCCAGATTCATGAGGCACGCGTGAGAAAACTCAGGCGCAGCGACGCACGCAGGACTCGGATAGTCTGGGGAGAAGCTCGGGTTCAGACCCGCACGTCTCGGAGAGTCTGGGGAAAAGCTCGTGTCCAGACTCTGCGGAGTGGGTGGGTTTGGGGGACCATTTATCACATCCCCAGTTTGCCGGCTCCTGAAGGGGGGAGCTGAGTTGGAGACCCCCCCATCCTATATCCGATAGCCTCCAAGATGATCCCAAGAAGCCTTCCAGGGTTACCAAGAGGGTTCCAAAAGGGTCCCCACAACTCCCAGAGAGCACCAACAGCAGCAGCAACCGCATGAATACCTCTAGATGGTTCCATGAGTCCGCGTCCGTGTCTTCCTCATCCTAGTCATCGTCCTCCTCGTCCTCGTCCTCATCCGCGTCCTCGTCCTCCTCGTCATCCTCGTCCTCCTCCTCCTCCTCCTCCTCCTCCTCCTCCTCCGCCTCTTCCCCTCGCCCCCACGCGGCACCCAGGGATGGCCCGAAGAGGCCTTCCAAGGCCACCCCCTTGCTTGCTTTGCTTCCCTAGATGTGCCTCTTCGTCACTTTTCCCGTGAACTCTGAAGGCCAAGGTTTCTGAATGGGCTGGTGGGGATACTTTTTCGGTCGCGTCCGCCAGTGAAACCGCAAGCGGAGTCAGAAGCGCTCCGGGACACGGCAGCGGCCGAACTAGCTGCTAATACTTTTTGGGCCGGCGGCTCCCAGGCGAATGTCGGGGAGCGGGTCAACAACGAACGGGGCGCGAACGAAGCTAATTGGCCGCAGTGGCATATGTACATGCGAGGGACAAAATGACCCGAATTAACACCAAAGGCGGTGGGGACACCACGGCGCGGCGGGCGGCGAATTGGCGACGAGGACGCCCATGGGCGAAAGGCACCAGCAGCTCAACGCGACCGTAGAGTCAAGCCATGCATCCCGACGGGTGGGGACGAGCGCGGCGACCGGCACAAAGACGGAACTGGAACGGCGGGAAGTCGCCTGGCGGCGCCAGCCACCGGCCGCTACAAATAAATGGAGGCGGGGCCATAGAAAAGGTGCAAGATTAGCTACTAATACGCGAAGCGTGAAGAGTTCCAACTGCAGTGAGTGCCCGACCACAAGAAACCTTCCACAGTAAACCCAACCCTGAGTCCCTAGGACGTCCACTGAACTTTGGTGTCGGCACGCCACGCTTTCCACGGCGAAACCATCATAACCCAAAAAAAACCCAGGGCGCCCTGGACGCAAGCAAGGTGTTTCTTGGCATGGGTCTCCACTGTACCGTCGCCTCAGCTCACCCTCATCTGCGCGTCGTCGTGCGACTCTGCCTCCATTCGTGGGGGGGGGCCCAGGAGGCAACTCCTGAAGGCCTTCGTCAGAGCGAGGCAAGGGTGTTCAGCCCGATGACAGGGCCAATGAGCCGGAGCAAGCCAGAGTCAGCCCGGGATTGAGCCCGATAAATCGGGATCGAGCGGGATTATGCCAGATTACGCCAGAGTAGGCGGGATTGGACGAGATTGGGCAAGCCGTCGACCAGGTATAGTTGAAGGGCGCTAGCTGGGAATAGGCTCAGGGAGAATGCATCGACCCCAAATCACCCATCGATCCCCGATAGGGGCCCGATAGCTCACACCGACCAGGACCGTGCGGATTCGCCATCGAGGACCCATCGCCGATCCATCGGCGATGCACCGCCGATTTCAGGTCGATGTTTCCCCCCTGAGCCAGTGCCCCCTATCGTTTGGAGGCGGCCAGGGGGTCTGAACTGGTTGGGCCCCGAGAAAATCGGTCAAGAAGAGGGATGAAGGCAGATACGCTCCAAAATCGGGCGCCAGACCTCGCCCAGGGTACACCAGGTGCACTGTTCACCCTTTTGGCAGTCCCAGGACCCTTTTGACAGTCACTGTACACCAATACCGGGCCACCTCGGACCCCAGCCAATCCCAACCTATCGTTGCCCATCAGATACCAGGAGGATCACGAGGAGGAGGGGGAGGCGAAGGATAACAGGAAAACAGAACGAATCAGGAGGAGCAGGAGGAGGAGGAGGAGGAGGAGGAGGAAGAGGATACCAGGAAAATCACACGGATCAGCAGGAGGAGGGGGGCGAGAGAAAGCGAAGGAAAAGGAGGAGGGAGGCGGGAGGAAAAGGAGAAGGAGGAGGAGGAGGAAGAAAAAAAAATATCCCGGCAAAGCAACCTAACAGCGATGTGTAGAAGCATATCTGAAAGCATTCCCCTTAAGATTCAGATGAAAATCCAGTTGTCGAATTCTGCTGTTCTCGCAGTCGTAGTCGCATTCGCGATGACAGTCGCAGCGGCAACGGCAGTCGCAGTCACAGCCAGCCTCAGCCTGCCTCAGCAGCCTCAGCCTGCCTCAGCCTCAGCCTGCCTCAGCCTCAGCCTCAGCCTGCTTCAGCCTCAGCCTCAGTCTGCCTTCAGCCTCGGCCTCAGCCTCAGCCCTCAGCCTCCTCAGCCTCAGCCTCAGCATCAGCCTGCCTCAGCCTCAGCCTCAGCCTGCCTCAGCCTCAGCCTCAGCTGCTTCAGCCTCAGCCTCAGTCTGCCTTCAGCCTCGGCCTCAGCCTCAGCCTGCCTCAGCCTGCCTCAGCCTCAGCCTGCCTCAGCATTCTGTCAGCCTCAGCCTCAGTCTGCCTTCAGCCTCGGCCTCAGCCTCGAAGCCTACAGAAGCCTCAGCCTGCCTCGGCCGCAGCATCAGCCTGCCTCAGCATTCAAAATGTGGCCCAGGAATGAGTTCTGGGAACTAGAAGAACACGAAGTGGCCTACAGTTGGCTCCGGGCATTCAAAATCATGCCCAGGAATGGAGTTCTGGGAACTTGAAGAGCACGAAGTGGCCTACAGTTGGCTCCGGGCATCCAAAATGTGGCCCGGGAATGGAGTTCTGGGAATCGAAGAGCACGAAGTGGCCTACAGTTGGCTCCGGGCATCCAAAATGTGGCCCGGGAATGGAGTTCTGGGAAGTCGAAGAGCACGAAGTGGCCTACAGTTGGCTCCGGGCATCCAAAATGTGGCCCGGGAATGGAGTTCTGGGAGCACCAAGAGCGATTTTGCGAGGATGTCCCAAGCGATTTCGGCTTCGGCGGCAGCCGCGGCGGCAGCCTGTCCGGGTCCCGCCCAGACCCCCCTGTGGAGTCATCTGCTGCTCTCTTTTGAGACCACTAGAAACCTATCAGCAAGAGCTGTTAGGTAATAAGAAAGACAAGCAGAACAAAAAATGGAGGAGGAGGAGGAGGAGAAGGAGGAGGAGCAGGAGAAGAGAGAGGGGGACGGGGAGAGGGAGGTGGAGGGGGAGGGGAGAGGGAGGAGGAGGAGGAGGCGGAGGGAGGAGGAGGAGGAGGAGGAGCAGGAGGAGGGGAGGGGGGAGGGGGAGGGGGTGGGGGAGGAGGAGGAGGATGAGGACGAGGAGGAGGAGGACGACGACGACGAAGAAGAAGACGAGGAGGAAGAGGAGGAGAGAGGAGGAGGAGGAGGAGGAGGAGAGGGAGGAGGAGGAGGGAGGGGGGAGGAGGAGGTGGAGGTGGAGGTCGAGGTGGAGGAGGAGGAGGAGGACGACGACGACGACGACGAAAAAGAAGAAGAAGAAGAATAATAATAATAAGAAGAAGAAGAAGAAGAAGAGAAGAAGAAAGGGAGGAGGAGAGGGAGGGGGGAGGAGGAGGAGGAGGAGAAGGAGGAGGAGGAGGAGGAGGACGACGACGAAGAAGAAGAAGAGGAGGAGGAGGAGAGGGAGGAGACGAGGGAGGGGGGAGGAGGAGGAGGAGGAGGAGGAGGAGGAGGAGGAGGAAGAGGAGGAGGATACCAGCGCCGATTCTGAACTTGGCCCTCCCAAGAGTTGCATCCCCATGGGGCGGCACGTGGCGGCGGGCGGCCCGGCGCCTGGCGGCCCGCGCCCGCGGGGCGGACGTCGCTCAGCGACAGGAGCTGGGGCGGCGTCTTGCCGGCGTGCCTGGCCACGGCAAAGCCGACCTCTTCGCGGGCGGCGTTGCGCGGCGCGACCGAACGGGTTCCACTGTCCTCCGCGTCCTCCTCCTCCTCCTCCTCCTCCTCCTCCTCTCCTCCTCCCTCCTCCTCCTCCTACTCCCCCCCTCCCTCTCCTCCTCCTCCTCATCCTCCTCCTGCGCCTCCCACTCGTCAGCCTCCTCAATCCCTTGTTCCTAAAAATCCGCCGCCCTGTCGGCGTGTGTGAGGGGCTTGTCCGTTCGACTCGCCGTCTTCGTCATTCGATCTGATAGTCGTCGTCTCTGCCGTCCCCTTTCCCTTGGCCCCTCGCTCCCTGGGCCCGTCGCCGCTCCCCCCCCTTTCCCTGGGCCCTCTTCCTCAAGCGCTGGGCCCGCCTCCTCCGCAAGCGCGCCAGCCAAAGCGAAATTTAGCAACGTCGTCATGAACTCGAAGGGAAGCCCCTTCCCTTTGATCCCTTCCCGCCAGGAGAGGGGGGGGGTCCTGGGAGGGTCCCGAAAGGGTCCAGGGGGGGGTCCCAGGTCAGATACGGCTCCCCCCCATGGGGGTCCCGAGGCCCAAAAAAGCCCGAAGACGGGCCAAGAGTGCCCCAAGAGGCCCCCAAGACGGTCTGAGAGGGCCCCGAATCGCCGAACGAGGGAGCCAAAACGGCCCAAGAGGGCCCTCTAACGGCCCAAGACGCCTCCAAGATGGCCCAAGAGGCCCCCAAGACGGCTCCAAGAGGGTGCCCAGATGAGAGACCCATGCCCAGGAAGCCCCAAGAGGCCCTCAAGAAGCTCCCAAGAGGCCCTTTAGCTGTCCCCCAGAGGCCCCCGAGAGCGCTTCGAAGAGACCCCAAGAAGCATTCATGAGGACTCTGACCCACGTCAGCGTCATCGTCGTCGCCGCCGCCACCGTTGTCGTCGATCGCCTTCAGGGTCAGCGGCACCAGCCGCAAGGCCTTCGCAACAATTCCTCCCTGCCGCACCACCAGACGTGCCGCCGGCAGGGCGGAGTGGGGCGTTTCGCCCGAGACGTCCCCGCAGCGTATGATCCGGAGGCATGGAAATCGCAGCAGATTCCAGGATGGAGGGGGTGGTTCTCAAAATACGGTTTTCGCCCTTGCGCCGCGCATATTCGTGTGCAAAGTCTGCAGCACATGTAAGGATGGAGGGGGGTGGTTTTCACAATGGAGTTCTCGCCTCTTCGCGCCGCTCACAGTCGTCTGAAAGTCTGCAACACCTTTAAGGATGGAGGGGGGGTCAAAATGAAGTTCTCGCCATAGCGCCGCGCACATTCGTCTTCAAAGTTTGCAACAGCTACAAGGATGGAGAACTTTCCCTTTTGAAAGTTGGATTCTCGCATTAGCGCAGCGCACACTCGTCTTTTGAAATTTGCACCAGCTTCAAAGATGGAGGGCGGTTCATTCTCAAAGTTTGGTTATCGGGCCATATGGCCAAGCAGGCAAGACGCCCCCAGGCGATGGCACGAGCAAGATATTGACTCGAGCCACTTTGGCTCAAGCCATACTGGCTCAAGACCCTTCCGAGTGCCACATTGCCATAGGAATGTGGGAGGCACGGGTCGCGAGACACAGGACACAAGGGTGCCCTTGATTTGGCAGGATCGACCTACTAATCAGTGCCGACTGTATTGACTACCTACCAGACCACCCCAACCCAACCCGAAGACCCGAATTTGACCCGAATTTCGGGTTGGGGGGGGTACGGATTCCATGTGTTTTTTCAATGTTCCCCGACCCCCCCCCACTGGAAATCGAGGATCAATTTGGGCCTTCGGGTTGGGTTGGGGTGGTTTGGTGGGTGGTGATGTATTGGCTCAGGGAAGCAAGTGGCTCGAGTGGCTCAAGGAAGCACCCCAGTTCAGTGCGGCGAAGGACGGCTCCTCTTCAAAAATCCGGGCGTCGCCGGAGCGAGCACGAGCGGCAGAGGCCAAAAAAAAACTGGAGCAGAGGCAGCGGCGGCACGGGTGCGAGGCGGCTCCGCTCCAGAGTGGGGCTGTCGCGTGAGCTCCTCGATGCGCACGGCGACATGTGGAATCCTATACGATTCCACCTAGGAGGGGTGGTCCAGATTCGGGAGCGGCAAAGAGGGGGGTGTCCAAGACGGGGGGGGTGCAAATCATGACGGGCGGCATGTGCGCGGCCCAGCGGGGGGGACGTAATGAGACAAGAAGGGGCGGCATAAGATCTGAGGAAAAATCATGGCCCGTGCCATGATATCCACCCCCCCCTAGTCATCACCCCCCTCTTTTCCGCCCCCAACAGATTCAGAACAAAGGTATCGCTGGACGCCTCTATGGGCTGTATGATCGTACGGCAGGTTCGTGTCGTGCCGACCCCAGCGTTGGTCTTTGACACCGCAGGGATCGTTCAACCTTGAACGATCGGCCGCTGCCGCGACGTCCGATCGTTCAAAAT